TCTAGAGAGTCACACTTTTTCTGTCCCCAGCCACACCTGAGATGGTGTACAGTCTTATCATCCCGGACAAATGGAGTATCACATCAAAAAAGCACCTAAGATACAACAGTGTTGCCAGCCTTCCTCTTCCTCAGCAACACCCACTGCTCCTTTGACATGACAGGAGATTTGACAAGACTTTGAAAAACCACATCAGACCCAGTCTTGAGAACGCCACCTTTGAAAGCCGTTTCTTCCATTCCACTGGGTGTGGTTTTCCTTGACATGAGGTATTTGAGTGTTCAGTGATCGCCCAGGGCTGACCCACCCAGTTCTACTTTACCCCCTTCCCTGTCCCTCTTCAGGGACCCTTCTCAAGAGAGCCTATTACAAAATGTGGATGTCTTGTTGCTTTGCTTTGTCTTCCTCAGGAGTACTGGGGAAGAGGCTGCTTTTTTTGACATTTCTCCCTTCTGAAGAAGGGAAGTGGGGTGGTCTTTGTCCTATCCTAGACCTGATGAGACTGAACAAATACATGCCATCCTCAACATGAAACAATTAACATTTCCTCTTTCTCCAAGCTCAAGACTGGCTCTCAGCTTTCCATTTGCAGGATGTATATTTTCACATATTCAGCCATTCACTGAGCCCACAGAAAGTATCTGCAATTCATAATGGGGCCCAACCATTACCAGTACAGGGCTCTGCCCTTTGGACTTTTAATGGCTCCTAAAATATTCTGGCTGGCAATAGTGGTAGTGCATTTAAGGAAACAGGACATCTGTCTACCCATAGCTGGATGACTGGCAGATACCAGCATTAGACAAAGAGCCTTTCCTTGTGAACTGTAATAAACCAGTAGCTGAAAGCCCATGCTGTAGCATATATAGGGCAGTTGGACCAAGTATTCCACCATCTGTGCAGTTCTCTTACAACCAAATGAGATTGTTGCATGCAGTTTAGCTGTAGAGCAAAGGTTATTGGTTGAGTTAACTCTATTACAATGGTTTAGGACTCTTGGCATGGCATACCCTTACCATAACGACACCACATGGCTGTAATTCGTAAAGTCAAAATAACTAAGAATGTGAAAACTGTGCAGTAACTGACCACAAATCCAGTAATTGAACCTGGTGATCCTTCTGAACAAGAAGAGCTCTCAACCATGCTTGTAGCTGTTTCCAATGCTTCACACTGACTCAACAGACATAAGCTTCAGAGTGACAATTCTTTAAACACACACTCTCTCTCTCTCTCTCTCTCTCTCTTTTATAGGAGTTTTGATTCCAGATAGACAAGAGCCTGCCTGCCAGAGGACAGGTTCTGATCTCTTCCGTTAGCGGTAAACTACCTACAGGTGGTACATGTGTATGCTTGCCACATTTCCTTATTGGACCTTACAACTGTGGCTGAGGCTCCATATGCTCCTCATCCAGGCATGTGCATCACAGTCCCACTTCAAATTCTACAGTAGCTCAGTTGGTTGCTAGACCTAGTAAACTTGAGAAAGAGGGGCAGAGTTCTCAGCCCCTTCCCTGGGGATGACCCTTGTTACAGACATATTAGGATCTGATTGTGACACCCTCAGAATCAGGGAATGTGAACTCAGGATGACTTGGCCCTCACCTTTGGGACATTCATGTGTATTCATCATTCTTGCCTCTTCTTTCAGAACTCCACACTGCAATTCCTGGTGGACATTTTTTTTGGCCAAGTGCTTGATCATCCTCTTTCTGAAAGTCAAGTTCTGGGAATGGTGCCATCAATGTGGGGTGACCCCATTGGTGCTCCCCATCTCCCAGGATTCAACTATATAACCTAGCAGGCTTCCTGAGCAGAAATGTGGTAACCACCCACAAATGGTCACTGTTGAAGTCCATCCTAGACCCAGTACTCATGGAAGTGGGACTCCCACCATAGACTTAGTCACCACAGAGGACAATAAGTATGGATCTCTACCAGACATCTTCCTCCTTCAGTGGTCTTGATGACTTTGATATGCTTTCCCTCCAGTTTCCTTGATCCCCAGAATATTATCCAAGATCAGATGGAACAAGAATTTGATCATGATAGCCCCATACTGGCTGAGACAGTTTTGGCTGTTGGACCTGTTACAAATGTTCAAGAGGCCTTCAATATATTTTCTGGCCAACACAGATAAAATCTCAAACCTCTGTCAGATACTGTACCAAGAGCCACACTTGTTGCACCTGACTGCTTGGGTATTTGCTGACTGAGCAACACTGATGTAGACTGCTCCCTACAAGTTCAGAAAATTTGTATACAAAGCAGGAAACCTTCCACCAGGAAGATGTACATCTCAGAATGACAAAACTTCTCCATGTGGGTAACCTAGAATAGTATTGACCCAATGGAGGTCCTGATACTGAAGGCCTTGGACTATCATGCTCATGAATCACATGGCATTAGCATTTAACTCCCTTAAGGTTCATCTTGCCACAGTATCTGTCACACTCCAATACAGTTGTACTCTGGTCTTCTGACACCCCTGTGACATCAAAATTCCTTCAACGGCCTACTTTTACTCACTCTGCAGCCAGGGACCTGTCTTCCATGTGGGGCTTTGATGTCATCCTTCTAGAGCCTGTGGAGCTTCTCTTGGGATTGCTGTTGGAATGTGCAGTACACTACTTTACTTTTCTTGTGGCCATTACCTCAGCATAGAAGTCAATGAGCTCGAAACTCTTATGATCTGGCTGCCTTCACATTGTCCATGTGGAAGGATGTGTGAGAGGAAACCACACCCACCCTAAGTGGAATTCTGAAACTACCTCGACCCAATCCATCACAGTACCAGTCTTCTCTCCTGGCATCAAGTGCTGCTACGTGAAGAAGCTGAATTCTTTGGATGTTTTCAGACCTTGACCTATACCTTTATGGGACTATATCTTTCAGGTGCTCTCGTCTCCTTTCTATGACCATATTTGCTGAAACAAAAGGTCATACTATCTCACTGAAGATAATTTCAAAGTGCCTCCACACTAAGTAGTAGTAGATAACGTTTATCCAAATGTGTGGATCCACACATGGGCAATGCTCAAAGGAGAAAATGTGACTTTGCAGAATTGTGAACAGTGAGATGACTTTATGTAGGGTGCTTATTGATAATAGACAGCGGCAACATAAAAATCAAACTTGCATTTGCATCCGAAAGCTATAAAATATGTGACCATCATGATCCCTTCAGGTAGAGGGTTCTATAATTGTGGTCTGGCTGCCAAGAAAGTTCTTGACATGAGTCCTAAGTCTTGTTCTGAGTACACTATTACTTATGTGAAACAGTTTTCTTGCTGGCCTCAGTTGCAAGTGGTGGTGTGTAATGCCTTCATGTATCTCATAGCACAGTAGGGCCAATACGGCTGCTGCAACACCAATTTATTCTATTGCTATGAAATAGTCTTCATTCCCATTCCTTTACAGTGCGTGCGCACGGGCGCACAGCTGTGTCTTGCATTTGAAAATACTTGTTGATATAACCTTGGTAATTTTCTCTGAGGGTTTTTGTTATGTTCTCCACAGAGTCCGATTCACTCCCCAGGCCTTAGTTCTTGAGATGTTCTTTAGGCTATGTAGCTGGTCAGCTAATTCTCTCCTTTCCTTGGCTCCAAACTGGACTCAAGCTCTGGTTCCCTAACCAACTGCCACGTAGCTAAGTGTAGGGAGCATGTACTGTGATCCAAGTAACTCCCACTTGTGGAGAAAACTGGAGAGCAAGAGACAGTGGCAAGGAGAATGAAAACAAAATCTCAGGTACCTGGCTATGGCAAATCAGCAGATGCCTTTTCCTTTTGGAAAAAAATCCAAATTACATAACTGCAGTTGTATTCAGATCCCTGACTGTTCGCATCATCTTAGAGCTGTAGTTTCAAATTGTGTGTAGACCAAGGCAGAGAATGGCATTGGTTTACTCAGCATTCACATTTTGAAGGTTATCATTGCAACTGAAGGGCTAGAAACAGATTTGTTTTAATGAAAGCTCAGATTCTGGAGCGCAGTTCAGTGGAAAGAGCATAACATCCATGGCAAGTTCTGTAGCTGTGGAATGCACAGGATGCTCGTGATGTACTCCCTTCTGCTCATGTGTTGGAGGTGGACTGTGGCATGCTGAAGCAATTGGAGGAATTTTTTTTTAAAGGCCTTATTCCAGGTATATGGTATGGTAAACAAGTGGATTTTCTTGTTTTTTCTAAATTGGAACATGGTTTCATGTATAAGGACCAGCATGAAAGGATGCAAAGATTGTAGAACTTAAAGGAGTCTTGAGGGAGAGGTTTGAATGAACATAGCACTTCTGCATTACAAGTGGTATAGCAATGGTATGAACAGTATGCAAGAAGTGGTGTGTTTTGGCTTAAAGCAATGATTATGGGGTATTAAGTTTTATAGGACCCTCATTGATTTGAGACATGGTCTTTCGAAGCTCTTGCTGGCAATAAGATTATCATTTCCACTATTTATCTTTACTGTATTCACTCTGTTACATACATGTGTTGATTATGGGATTTGATCATACTATTTTAAAAGTATTTCATGCTTCTTAGTTAAGATTATGAAAGGAAGTAGGGATTTTAAGGTACTAAAAGTAATATGAAAACACCTGCATGTTTTATTCATGGAGCTGCACCTTCCAGTTGCTGGTGGAGGAGAGATTTGTTCCCCCCCCCCCGCCCCCCATGGGGTGGGAGATCGAGCTGTTAAAAATCCGAAATGTTTTGCTCAAGCCTCAGGTTTAGCAAGCATTGGAAGATGACTGACAAGTGAAGGACTTAACACTGTACATGGCTTAAGATTTTTAAGTACAGGCTACAGTCAAAGTGGCAGTCTGTTGCAGCTGTTTATACTATCCAAAAGCACCTTTAAAAAAAAAAAATTTGATCATTCGTAATGGCAGACTGCAGTTGTAAACTACTAACACATGTAGTAATTTAACTTTGATAGAATTTTAAGTGTCCAAAGGAACCTAAGCGAATAAAGTAATGATTTCTCTCCATATTGTGTAGTACATGCTTCAGAGGACCCAGGACCAAGATGAAAATGTGGCTTTGGAGGCGTGTGAGTTTTGGCTGACTTTGGCTGAGCAGCCAATTTGTAAAGATGTGTTATGTCGGCATCTTACTAAGTAAGTTAACTTTCAAACAAGCAGAGTGAAGCATATTCTACTGAGAAACTAAGGATTGTAAATTAGTCCTCTCATTCTTGAATTCTGACTTAAATCTGTCCTGTAAAATAGTTTACAAAGTTCTTAAGAGAAATTCCAGATATCATCTGGTGGTTCTAGTTGCTTGTGTTTTTGTGTAGTCTACAAATGATGAATTCAAGTATTGACAGCTGTTTTGTATGTAGAAATGGACATAGTTGGGCAAATAAATGTCCACATGATTGGACATGCCTCTGTACAAAGAACAGGGTGTGTTGATTTTAAAACACTTGAGTTTATATAAAAAAAAAAGTGTAAATCAGATTGAGGCTCTGCAAAAGCTACTTACAATTTTTATTTCAACTTTAGTGTTTGCTTTTTCTTTATAAAAAAAAAAATTATAACTTAGTTCATTTATAAATTTTAAAATGCCACAGCTGGTAGGGTATCTTCTTAGAATCTCACAAAACACAGGTGAAAAACAAAATACTGAAATTTAAGGTTCTGATCTGGCAATTGCTTCAGCAGTATATAATATTCACATGAAGTCCCACTGATTTCCTTAGAGTGAAGCATATGCATAAATGTTGCATGATCAGGGACTAAAATTGTAACTTTATTAAACTTTTTTCCTAGTGGAATGAAACTAGTCACTTCAAAATAAAATTCTTTCAGTGTTAATAGTGAAATATTTACACTTCCAATATATTAATAAAGTAGTTGTGAAATTTTTATACACACAGGGCTAAAATTTTCAAAAAGTTAGGCTTCTAAACCTGTATTTTGGACACCTGAGAATGGGATTTTCAAGAACATCTAAGTGACTTCAGAGCACAAATCCTGATGGAGTATAGCCTGGCTAAAGCTTTTTAAAATTTATTTATTTACTTTTAATTTTGGAAATTCCATATAAAGGAAGCTTGGTCTAGGCTGCAAATATTGCATCAACTGTCTTCCTGTCACTTTTTTGGGGGGATGTGAGGGGGGGGTTGTTCTCACACTGATTAGTGAGGCTTGCCTTTTTTCATTATAGATGAGCACTTTAAATGTGAGAATTCTTAGTAGACAGAAAATTTGTTTTAAAAAAAAAAGAAGACATTTGGCTAAGTATTAGGAAACTAATAAGAAACAAGTCCAAAACATCTACTTTACTTTCTTCCCACTCTATATTCCTAAATTACTAAACAAACTAGCAATGTGTATGTGAACTGGCTTTTTTTAAATGTTAAGGTCTGTTTTAAAAATCTTTTAAATAAGAGTTCTGTTTAACTCAAGTTTTATCTAATCTGCTAAAGAACATTGGTTTAACTATTGCATTTTGAAGTACTTTTGTTTTTCTTGTCTTCACATCACTTCTATGTTTTTGAGTACATCTTAAAGTGTTGATGGTTAATACTGACTTTAAAGTTGCAATGCAAATGTAGGATTGATTAAGATAATACATTCAGTAGCTGTAAACAGTGAATACGAAGTTTTTAACTACAAATTTACTTTTAACATTTGGGTCTTCCTTGCAATGTTGTGCACTTCAGCATTTTGTTCAGCAGTTAGCCCTCTTTATAGGGGGAAACTTTGAGAAAATAATTCTATCAGTATTTGAAAATCCTAGAGCTATAATAAAAAGTTAAACAGTGGGCAAGGTTGGTGTACTATTTCCTTAGACAAGCCTAGAAAACTATGTGAAAACTCCGCTAATTCTGTGTCAGTGAAATGAACCAATTGCTGTGGTGTCTAGCACCCTTTCCCACCTTCGCTCCTCAAAGCCTTTTTATTTTTCTGTAAGATTACTTACTATATAGCTTCAGGTACTCATCACCAATATACCATGGTAATGATGCTCAAGAAATGCTGATACATACCTAAACACCAATTGGTTTATGTATTTTTCTCTGTTAAACTGATTTGGATTTATTTGGGTAGGGGAAGCTATTAGCAGCACAATTTTAATTTGTTGTGAAGATGGTGTGCTAATAGGCAGCCTGTATATTAAGGCCGGCATTCATTTTCAGTCACAAAACATATATAGGGACTGATTCTCCCATTGATGCACATTCAATTCACATTGACTTCAACAATAGTCAGATCTAGCATGTACTATTTTATGGATTGAGTTGCTGTCTAGTTGGTTTGATTTTACAACTTACTTGAAGAAACTTACTAGAGAGAAGTCATATCCATACACTTAAAAGGAAATTTTTGTCAAATAAGCATTCATAAAGTTCTTCAAGTCGTGTCACTGTGGGTGCTCCACTTCAGGATCTGTGTGCGCCCGATTGAAGATTTGCCTCAGTAGTATCCGCCGAGCTGGTCCTATGCCCTAGATATCCTTGTGCTCTGATATGAGGGTATGTGGGGTGGGGTGGGACAGACCCACCACTACTCTAGTTCCTCCTTAATGGCCTGTGGCCTGAGATGGCATGTTGTGTTGTCCCTAGCCATGCAGCTTGCTATCTCTTTTGCTCTTATTTTATTTTTCTGTTATTTAACACAATTTGTGCTTTTTGGGGGGTGGGTTCCCCCACTTTTTCCTTGCCTGATCAGGGCCTTTGTTTTTTCTCAGGCTGCAATCTGCAGCCTCGAGTAATGGGTTATGCCCAAGACATCGGGCTCCAAACCCTATGGCAGGTCTGACAGGTCTCTTCCCCTCAATGATGAACACTCGAGTGGCCTCTGTTTGTGGGAGAGACTTGCATCTTCCAAATGTAAAAGCTGCTTAGGATTTAAAAGTAGATCTAAAAAAATGAAGGGAAGACAGGTTAAAATGCCTGTTGATGGAACATCTCCTTGAGAGCTGTGGGGTCCAAGTCCCATCCTGTATATCAGATTTGGTTGTGCAGAGAGCCTTAGCAGCTGTCACTGCCGCTGCGGTAAGCAAAGACCCTGGGGACTCCTCAGAACTGTCCAGATCATCAAAAAAAGAGTTTCCATTTCCTAGGATGGGATAAGAGAGAGGGAAAAGTCACCCTTTTGGTTTGGATTGTGAGAGGCCCCATGTACCAACAAGGGTATTGCTGAGCTCCTATCTCCTCTGGTACCAAAACCCTGGCACTAGCTAGAAAGCCACCCCACATACCTAGAAGCCATCTGTTAAGCTACAGCAGCACCTAAGTTAGTACCAGACCCAATGTTTCCAAAGCACAAGGACTCTTAAGGTTAAGCAGAAAGTCATCAGCCACATCTTCTGCGGGCAGCAATGAAGGCACACAGATTGTGCTTTGGTTCCATTTCCAGGACCACCCAGCATTCTAACTCCTGAAGATTATCTTGAGTCCCTAGTACCATCCAGGCTCCTTTTCCACAAGGATCTTTGGATCCTGGAAGAACCTGAGCCTATATTGCACAGGGGAACGAGCAGGGAATATCACTTGGTATTAACTTGCTTCCTGTTGGTCTCCATCCCTCAAGGAGCACCCTGAGAAAGAAACGCCTTGGAGGATATAAACTCGGCAAACCCGGCAAGGAGATCCTTGGGATCCTGCCCCCTTCCCTTATGCCCCACCTCGATGGACTAATTGAGGCAGGAGCTACAATCCCTCCTGACACTGGGGGTGATCAAACCTGTTCCATTGGACTTTGTTGAGAAAGGGTTCTATTTCCGATACTTCCTCATCCATGAGAGAAACAGAGGATGGAGACCAATTCTGGCCTTCAGAACTCTGAACACCTTCATCCACTGTCAATGATTAAAATGGTAACCCTAGCAGTGATAAATCCCTCTTTCACCCAAGAGATTGGTTTGTCTCCCTTGACCTTCAGGATGCTATTTTTCATATAGCCATGTACCCTTTTCACAGGCACTTTTTATATTTTGGGGTGGGTAAGGACTGCTATCAGTATCACGCCCTACTCTTTGGCCTCTCCACTGCTCCAAGGTCTTTACCAAAGTCCTCTCGGCTGTTGCAGCCCATCTTCATCAGATGGGAATAATAGTCTTTTCCTGCCTGGACGATTGACCTGAAAGTTGCTCATTTCTCAAGGTACTGACGGCAACCAGCAAGGCCCTATCTCATGTTCTGCTCCTTTGGCTCTGCCTCAATGTGGAAAAGTCTGCACTCACTCACTCAATGTATAGATTTCATTGGAGCCACTTTGGACTGCCTCACTGCCAGTGCATACTTCCCATGTACAGGTTTGCCACAACGTCCAGCTTTGTTTCAGAATACAATAGTCTTCAAACCACAGCAAGGGCTTGCCTGCAACTTCTGAGCCATATGGCAGCATATGTGTTGATGGCACCCTTGGCAAGAATACATTCTCAGTGTCTCTAAGCCTGCTTGAGAACCTGTCTACACCCCCAATAAACACAGTCCATCCAAGTAGGTGTCCGTATCTCGAAGAGTCTCAATTCTCTAAAGTGGTGGCAGGATCTTCCAAAGGTATGCATGAGAGTTCTGTTCTTGTAGCCTCTTCTCACAAGGATCATCACTACAGATGCTATCCTGATAATTTCTGAAAGTGTGCTGCAGCCTAACAGCACAGGGCAGATGAACAGTTCATGCTTGCTGGTACTTCCTACCCTACATTAGGGGCCACCCAGTCAGAATAATATATTGCTGCTCTGTTGTCCAGCATTATATCGACAAGGAGGTGCGAGATCCCAGATTTATGCACTGAATCCGTAAGATCAAGGAATTGGTGTTATCACACCACATACCGATCCCATTGGTTTATCTGCCAGGATTTCAAAACACAGTGGTGGACTCTTGCCTCAACTAGTGGGAGCTGAACAACAAAGTATTCCAAAGGATATGTCTTTCCTGGGGTCATTCGAAGATGGATCTCTTTAGCGCACTATCTGATGCAATGTTCAAGGGGAGGGCATGGCTGCAACTTGACAGGAAATGCCCTGGTCATCTCTTGGCCTCGTGTATTACGTATGCTTTATCCCCTGAAGCCTTTGTTGCTCAAGCTCCCAAACAAATAGAAACAGGAGAAATTAGTAACCATTCTCATAGCACCATCATGGCTGAAACAGGTGTGGT